GGCTATTTAATTGAACGAATTTATGTGTTTATTGCAGGCACCTCCTCCAGGAAAGCTGTCTCCAGAGAGGGATGACTTTGAGCCAGAACAAAAGCCACAGGGCACAAACGTTGAAATGGTTGGAAGTTATGTTAAAATTTGTGGCAATAACTTGCAAAAGTTGTTTTGGCTCGACTCTAAAGTCACTTCTGCAATTGTTAGGCATCAAAAGTGAACAAGGATAAGGCAGAGGCAAAGCCTGCAGAGAGTCCATTGATGAGAGATGAACGACAGATTGAGAAGTCTGCTCAGAAAGATATTGATCTGAAGAAGCAAGTAGTAATCACACAGAATCTTGACCTTCAAGTTGATTTGGGAAAGCCGAAGAAAGATGATAGTGGCTTTGACAAAGTGCAAATCCACAGGCAGCAAGTGAAAGATTCTAAAGTAGAGCCTAAACAAGAGAAGTCTGGTAATAAACATTTCCCAACCAATCGTTCTCATTCTTGTTTGATCTTTTCCATTTGGATTTCTATCTTTAGATCTGTTTCCTCTTTTCACATTTAAGCATCGGCATCCTCGCTCCATATGCCATTGACTGTTGGAACTTGGCCAGGGGTTTTTCCTCCCTTTGGGTAAGCAATTGTCTTATTTTTCTAAGACTTTCCAATTGGCGTTGGAGGATTCATCTTCTTCATCCTCAGGTACATGGGTCAAGTTCCATCTGTGCAAGCTGTTGTTGCTACTGATAGAAATGCAGATCCTTCGGGTTCCTTGCAGGTTTCTTCTCCTTACCCACGCACACTTTCTATCTCAAGCGCGCACATACATACCACACATGCGCATGCAAAATAATTATCTTAGGTAGGTTCTCTCTGATTCTCATAACTTCTGTTGCAGCCACCAGCCTTTCTTCAAATGCATCCCCGACCAAAGCGCTGTGCTAGGCATTGCTATGTCGCACAGATGATATCCAACCACCAGAAGTTTGCACGGATGAATTGTTTCTGGACTGCTGCAGCTGGAGCTACACCTTTGTACGGGGCCAAGCCATATAATCCTAATATGGTTCCACCTTCAGATGCTGCTATCCCTATAAATCCCATGCAGGGAAGCTTTCCAGGGGCTAACATGGGTGCATTGCAAGATACCAAGGGGACACCAGAGTTAACATCATATATGGGTAATATCTCACAGGAGAAAATGCAAATCATGGATACTGCCCAGAGAAAGCCACTAATTCTCCAGCAGATGCCTCAGTCTGGATCAGCAAACAACACTCCGGTAAGGATTCTTTTCACTCATCCATGGCGGATCTTTTAGAACTGTTGGTGCAAGGAATAATGAAAGCCTTTCTTTTTGGACCCCTTCTTCTGTCTATTTAGCATGGGCCTGCATTCGTTTTCCCTGTCAACCAGCAGCAGGCCACAGCTGCTTCCAGTAGGCCTGGGGCAGCAAAAGCTTCTGTGGGCTCTGGTGCTGAGGTGCGGGCATCTGGTGCCTTGAATTCTGCTGTGGGGAGCTGCGGGGGTGGTGGGTCGGCGAATCCAGTGAACATGAGCTTTGCTAGTTTGCCTCCTAATGAAGCTCAGTACCTGGCTTTTCTTCAGAACAATGTGTATCCTTTTCCTATTCCTGCCCATATTACAGGGGCTCCATCATTTCGAGGAACAAGTAATCCTCAAGCAATGCCCTTCTTCTACCCTCCTCACATGCTTCACCCATCACAAATACGACCGCAGCAGCAGCAGCTGCAACCAGCAGGGCCACTACCTCATGTTCAACAGAGTCACCAGAGTCCAATCACTTTGAGCGGGCCTTCCTTGCAGAAACATCTGCAGCAATTACACCATGTTGGGGGAGGTGGTTCTGGTGCTTCTGGTGCAAGTTCTAATGGTTTTCCAGCCATTAATCAGCAACAGGGCCTCCTGTCTCAGCATGCTCGTCCCAAGGAGTGCAATAAGGACATGGAAGATAACCTTCCCACTGCTAATGGTAAGACTTCTCAATCTCAGAAGGGCATCTTTTGCCGAACAATTTTTTAAGCCAATTCATTCTCAAAGCTTTGCTTTGATATCTACTGCTGCAGCTGCTAGAAAAATGTGCAGTAATGGGGTTCATCGTGATAAGCAGCCAATTAATCATCAGGCACAACAAAAGCAGAACATGATGGTAGAGCTTACACCACCTCAAGCTTTTACAATACCCTTTGCATCCTTTGGTGGGTCTGGAACTGCAATACCAGGTCTCGACTTCTCTTCCGTGGCACAAAATCATGCCATTACATATAGCCTCCCAGAAATGTCTAAACATGGCTACCACCAGATTGGCACAGCTGCAGTTGCTGCAGCTGCTCAAGCGACAGAACAGAAGGTCCACCAAATGTCAGAAGATGGGAAATCTGTTGCCAGGGAGTTGATGAACACAAATGTGAGTGGTGAAGAAGGTAGAAAGATTATGACTGTAAGCAAAGGTCCACAGCATTCTCTTTCATTTGCAAAAGGAGATGGTGAATCTTCCATCTCATCTGTTCTCAATAACAGCATCATTGATATCTCTTCCCGGTCAGTAAACCCCATTCAATCTCCTGCAAATGGCAGTAGATCTGCTGACCGTTCTGCTGGCACGGCTACAAGTACAACTCTTGTTCCCAACTCCCAACCACAGCAACAACATCTAATTCATCTTCAGCAGCAACCGCTGCAGATGCAGCACCATCCTGTATCATCTCGTTCAAAGCCCTCAGCCTCAAGCAACAATACTAATATCCATCCTGAGAGTCTGCCGGGAGGTTCTACCATTGCTAAGTTCCCTCATGCTCTAACTGGCTTTTCTCAGGCTCTTGGACAAGGTGGTAGCCCGATCCAGTGGCCTCAGGGCAAGACATCTGCTGGAAGAGGTGTGGATCCTTCTGCAGTCGCACCTACTCAGGTGATGATGAACAATGTTCTCCAACTGCAAGGCAGAACAACCCAACAGCCGTTTCCCGCCCAAAGCCACCAAACCCAGATTTCATTTGGCATGAATTCAAATAAAGTGGTACCTCCAGGGGGTCAACATCTCTCTGGAGCTTGTGGAAGTCCATCTCCATCATCTGCCACTATTGCTGTTGGATCGCCCTCAAGTTCAGTCTCCAAGAGTGCTGGTGGGAGCCCAAGTGCATCTGCAAGCATAAAACCCAGTCCTCAAACCTCTGCAGTTTTGCTTCATCAACAATCAAGTGTAAAGCAATCGGCATCAAGCTCTAGCTCAAAATCAATAACTATGGGTAACCCAAATGTGCTACCCATTCTTGGACACCCCCAGAAAGTTCCTCCGCCTGCCCCCAGCTCTAACAGTAAGCTGCAGCAGCAGCCTCAGCAACCAAAACAGCAAGCTTTCTCCGAGGGCCAGCTGTTCTTCTCTAATTCGCACATGCAACAGGTCCAATGTGCTCAATCCGGTGGTTCTGCTCCCATTGCTGCTCAATACTATCAAAAGCGGCAGTCTGAATCACAAACACGACAGTCTCAACAGCAGCAGCAACAAAGCTCAACATCATCTTCCACTGGGATGCTTTCCCTTTGTGCCCCCTCCGCACTTACACTGGCTGGTGTTTCCGCCACATCTGATCCTGCAAAGGCCATGGCTGCGGCCAACAGCACGAAGGGTCTGCCTCCACCTAGCTTTTTTAATGCGACTCAGCTGGCTGCGGCTGCTCAGTCTGCCTCTGGCTCTCCTCGCCATCCAATGTCTGCTGCATTCACTTATATGTCTATGCCACCATTTTCCATGAAGCCATCGACTGATCACAAACCTGGTGATTACACTTGTCTTTTTTTCATTATTCTCCTGTATAGATCCAAAACTGCTTTATCATACTGAGTGCTCATATTATCATAATATGTTCTACCAGGAAGTGACAATTTACAAGCCTGTTGGCAGCCTGAGAAGAGGTAATGTTGGATCGGACAATGATGCTCGGCCACACCAACTGCATCAAAGGCCTCTTTGGATAAGATTCTGGAATCAAACAAGAGGATTCTCCTCCCTCTTTCCTGGCCCATTGCCCTGTAGGTCTCTGTTCAAAGGTGTGCACAATTTGAATGTTCGAATTGGATAGGAAGGACAATGAGAAATGGGGGACAGCAGAAGGAAAGTGGTGGTGGGTAAGAACCAGCCAGCATTTTGTTTTGTTCTCAAGTCCCCTGCAGTCTTGAGACGAGAGGGGCAGAGGGACTAAGCACAAAGCAGCATAGGGAAGAAGATGACTGTACAAAAAATATCCTCCTATCTGGATTTTGTATAGTGCGGTCAAATGCTAACCTCAATTGTGTCCTGTTTCTTCTGTTTCATTTATAACTTAAAAAGTGAGATGATTACATTGAGATCATCATTACATGCTATTCCTCCATGGTTTTACATATAAACATCTGTTCTCCGATGCTGTTAAGATACTGATTATGCAGACTTGAGTGGTGTGTCAATTCATTTTGTTGCCATCTTTCATTTTCTGTTGTCTAAACATCCTTGTGCTCATTAAAAAATTTATCTTTCTGTGAAGATGTGAAGCATCAGTTGTGTTTGCTTTGCACTTCTTACTGCAGAGAAAAGGGTGATTGTGAATTGATATCATTGAAGATTCTCATGCACATATTGCAATAAATATTTAATTCTGAGGTATTTTTTGGTGCAGGTTATCAACACCATGGTTTCAAGTCCTAAATTCTCTTTTGCCAAACATTGAGAGGTGAAAACAATGTCTGGATGACTACAGGGTTGGTGTATTCTGGACAGTCTCCACGATTACTAGGTAACAATTTATGTTCCAATCAATATGCATTACAATACGTTTGCTGCAACGCTCTTTCTTGTGTTAGATAAAGTGAGATTTGTTGTGTTTCCTCCTGGCTTTTAGCCAAAGCTCTTGTTAGTGGGAAACGTATACCCCACTCATCAATCAATGTCTCCCTTTATATTTGATTAAGTTGTGAGGGTTGCACAAAAAAATTTGGCAGTTTGGACTGCTTTTTTTGGTCAGAGTTGGTATTTACAAACTTATGACAGATTCCAATAACATATTATTTTCATCCTATTTGTTAGCGATCTGCTGCTTTTCTTTCTCTGCAATAGCTCATTGCTATTCTTTGTCATCAGATTCGCCTTTATCCTGTTTTCGAGTGTCTTCTTGTGCAGATTGGTGGGATCAGAGAATTCATGGTAAGAAGTGGAATCTGTCTCTCCATCGGTGGTAAGTCCATACTATTTCAATTCCATGATTACTTTGAATCCCAAGACACCATGGACACTGTTCACATGATCACCAAATGGTTCATGGTTTCTTCAAGCACAAGAACTTACCTGTGCACACCTTTCTTTCCTCTGGTGGCCAAAGCAGCTGTTAAGTGGACTGTGCAGGAAAGGTTCCCCGCCAGCTGAAGTCTGTGGAGGGGCCAATCCAAACATGGTTCACTAGACTTTTTGTGAGGCAGATATCTTGTCCAGTGGCACAAAAATGAGAAATCTGAGGCAAAGCTGGTTGTCATTGGTAGAGAAATTACTAATGCTGCTGGTGGTGAAAGTAAATCCAACTTTTATCTTCTACTGTTCTTGTCCTTGGCACAGGATGTGAAGAGATCTACCACGGCTTGTGTTGCTGAAAAGCTCACGCGAGGAATCCAAATGAGTGTTGCTGAAGCCCTTTAACTACAGACAGGAGCACTCGCACTCGCATCATCGGCTGCTGCTTACGACCGAGAGCAGACAAAGGACTTGGGATCACGAGCTACTGGCGAGAGATGCCAATGGCCCCATCCTACCGAGGACCGTAGCCATGTGAGCTGTGGATGGATGTTATCCATACCTTGTGCTTTGATCTCTTCCCTCCTTGATCGTCATCCGGGTGAAATGGCCACCAATTCATTCTCGATTCATGTGTGTGTACCTCCTGCTGACTCATCGTGGTTGTGATTGCCTTTCACTGTAGGGTGTAGCGGCGGCCGTCATCTTGGACTTGAGCAGCCGAGGGGAAGAGAGGATGCCGGTGGAGGAAGCGTGCACGCTCCTCCACCATCAGCCCCACCTCGTGGGACTCTCACTGCCGGACACCGAAGAAGAAGAAGGCGTGTAGCGAGTTGCAGTCGGCATGGTAAAAAATGAATGGGCTTAAAAGCACGGAGATGCCAGCAGTCAGGTGGCGCAGCGCTGCTCCACCGACCCCACGCACAGCTCAGAAGCAGCGATAAGCTGCAGTCGCAGCACCTCGCGGTGCGCCCACTCATCTTTAACAGGACCAAGGAGACTGGAGCCATTTACATGCTCTGTTAGGACTGCCTACTTTCCATGTCAAAGTCGCTTGCTGGTACATCGATCAAGCCCACCAACCATGGCAGTCGGATTCCAACCATCATTTTGAACGTGAGCATCACCAGTCAGGGAGTACAATAATTAGGGTGACTTCGAACCCTCAGCTCACAGTGAAGTGGGGCTGCCTTCCTCGTGGGATGTAGTCGACCATAAAACGAGCCGCCTCCTCCTCCTCCTCCTCCTCCGTCTACCCAGACTTTGTCGAGTAGCGGAAGCATGCACGGAGGTGATCAGCCTCGGGTTTGATCCTGTCTCGCTGTCAGTAACAGATGAAGCTTGTCGTTTCCTGGGAAGGTCTTTTGCCATAAATGAGATGTCAGAATCCAAGAATGCTGCTGTTTTCCTCCTGGAAAGACTGAAGCCCAGCTGCGGCTCCAGACTTCATGAACAACGTACAAGGGGCTGTGACCTTCATGCCAGTGTACAGTTGTTGGTCGGGGCCGGTGGCATTTGGAGGGTTAATCGCCAGTATTCTGCAAGTAATGAATCCAGGTTCTGTAGCTCTGTGGGTTGCTGGTGGGATTCTGGGAGAACGGAACATGGGGAGGGAGTGCAGCAACAGCAGATGGTTACTACTGCTCGCTATTATCAACAGGAGAAACGAGATGTAGGTTTGAAGGGTGCTGCCACATGCTGTTGTACGTTGCAGAAGCCATTAGAGCTGCTTCCACTCCTTGATCGCGTTATCTGTTGCTGTGTTTGCGTCCTTTTGCCAAGGACGATGCCACACTTCCTGCTCTGGAATTCTGATGCTTGAGATACAGCCACTGGACGTCGCCGTATCTATTTGCTGGAGAAGGAAAAGGGGAACCGGTTGTTCTTCAGCTGTAGAACACCCGTAGGAGGAGGTGGAGACTTCTGTATACGACCGATTCTGAAATAAATATCTTATTGTGATATGATTGATCGATAGGATTGATGTGTCTTTCCCACCAATAAATATCTCAAGATGTATAAATGTCGTCTCCTGATGCGAAGGAATGAGAAGCGACTGCTGTCCAGCTCAAGCATTAGCCGCGAACATGGCCCCACGTAGGCCCCTCTCCACCACATGCCAAAAAGAGACAAAAGGAGAATAAAGACTCGTGGGGTGATGCGTGGGTATCATCGAGGAATAATGCCATGAGTGGTCGCTTTACCTACAACACTAGAGAGAGAGAGAGAGGAGAAAGTCGACAGTGAATCTTATAGATCACAACAAGACTGTTAATGTTAGGGAACAACGTTAAATTTCCTTTGTGATCCTAAAATACGAAGTCGGTTAAGTGGAGGTTTTATATGTGTGTGTGTTACTCTCTTGCACGGTTACGTGACATTCTCTGGTTGGACGGATTAAGTTACAAGTTCTTCTTCTTCTTGCTTCAGCTTCCTTACCTTGTTTCTTTTCATAATTTTCTCTTTCACTGGTGCTGAAGCACCTTCAAAATTCTTTTATGATTGTGCTGAAAGAAGAATCCTCCCGATTGTATCTTCGGATAGCTTTCCCAATGAAACCTGCATGAAGATCAAGAATACGTCTGGATTTTTTAGTAGGAATGTTTTTATTTACTTTTGCTCTAACAGTTAATACGTTAAATAGGTTCCATCTCATGACAAGAATGAAGCAAATAGAAAGAAAAAGCAAAAGGATCAAGGCTCAAGCCAAGTATGGCCACTACAATTTCACATCCTAATGAATGAAGTGACATTGATATAGAATAATACACACCAATTCATACAATTGCATCATTTCGTCACAAACATAGCTGATTTGCCTAAGATGTGCGATATTGTAACCGACAGAATCAACCCAATTTTAACCTCATCTAGTGCCTGAGCGGTTGCAAGAAAAAGAAAAGTAGATGAGCACAAAAGCTCAGGATCACACGAGCTTTATCAGTGACTTCGCCACTTTGTAAGTTTAGAATGGTCATGCAACAAAAAGGGGTCCAAGATCAGTCCGCCGCACTCAAACTCCTGCAATTTTGTACCCATGCAACAAGCTGCTACTACATAGGTGATGATCCAATCATGGTGATAACCTGGGCCAGCCCTTCCCTTTTGTGCCACTCGGAGGTTCCCAAACCGGTATGACTGGTCTTCTGCATCTTACATCTTTGAATCTTTGTGTAGTGATGTTACTGATCTGCTGCATGTCATGACTTTGCTTGAAGAGGAACAAGAACATGACCTATTAGTGGCATTCAAACCAACAAAACAGTCAGATAGTACATTCCAAACCAATGCATCTAAAAAGTTCGATTTGCTAGTTCTAACAAAATATATCAGAAGTAATACCAACCAACTCAACAATTAAAACAGGAGTAGAAAACATATCAAAGAAAAAAAATAAAATAATTTTGTGATCATCTAATCTAATAACTAGGACGTGGAATCTTCAGAGTGAGAAAATATGAAAAGATTATTTTGCCATAATCTAATCCGTGAAATTTCACACAATAAACAACTAGGGTGTTTTATCTTCAGAAATGACATGGACAAAGTAATCAGCTGTGCCATTATACACCGATAAGATCAATGGTCATCAGGTTTTCTTGTATTGAGCATGACTTTTTAGCAACATATTGTACCATTTCAGGATTTTCTATTGCACAAACAATGAGATAGTTTTCATTTTCATCGAGCAGAGTGGCTAAAATCAGAATAAACTGTAAGTGAAGTTCTCACATAAAATCATGAAAATAATTATTTTGGCACTATATCACATATACAAATTATATATGATTCAATGGTCAGGCAGATTCCTAAAGTCCTCTATGGTATTGGAACAATTAAATGGTTCTTTTCACTAGCACAATTGGTGCTAGGTTCTCAGATTTGACTATCGTGAGTTCAACAAAGTGTCTACACCAGTGAGGGTGAGATAGTGGCATGCTGCAATCTCCTATATTCATCTAGAGAACCACAAAACATAAAAAAGATTTTGACTTTGTGTTTAAAGATGGTTGCATGCACTGCAATGTAGATGCGGGATCTGTCCGTATGTAGTGTCAGCTGCCATTCTACATGTTCTTGATGATAGTGACATCCTGATATACCTTTGCACATCCTGTTAAGTTCCTTTTCCCCACTAAAATTTTCATCCAAAGATTTGCCAAAGGATTTTTAAAACGATACTCCTTGTATGTTGAGTTTCTAAATTAGGTCTAATTTGTTTTCATAAACATTGCAATTGTTTGCTGAGTTGTGGTACTTTGCATTCAAACTATGTATTTTATATTCAAATTCTACCAGCTTCTAGAATACAGAAATGGCAAATTAAAGCATCTGCTAATCCAAATGATCAACTTTTAAGTTGAAAATCAGTCACAGAGTATACAACAATGATGTGCCAGTAATTGCTCAATCTTGAAAGAAAAGATAAGGAGTTTTACAGATTACAGTTGTAGACAAAAGAAATCCTTTAAGGTCACACTCTTAATCTATAAATTCTATTGATATATATGTAGCATCATATTTCAGGACCACAAGATTACTTCAATACACCGAGGAAAATATTTCTAGTGTTAGATTCATTGCTGGAAAGGAGATTCATAATTAAATACCATGCTTTGCATTGCAAAAATGAACAAGGTGGAAGGTCATAATAAATTGTTGTCAATTAGTTAGTTCAATTACAGTTCTCTGCAACCCAGCAAAAAGGGAAAAGTAAACATGGTTCATGGAAGCTTTGTTGGTTAATCATGTGCTACGTAATCTAAATGAACTGCACCATAGTTAGTATTGTGGGATAAGCGTATATAATGTAGATTAACATCTAAATATGCTTAAAGTTAGGGTACAATAGACAGCCTCTCTGCTAAGGGTAAGGCTCGATACAGACCTTAATTAGTTCAGGTACTGTCTGCAAACCTCCAGAAACTGTTTCCATCTTAATTTAGCCTTCTCAAACCCCTCCATATCAATGTTGTTTCAGTAACATCATTTTCATCTCACATTTATGTTACTCCAGGCCTCAATGGCTTTGTAGCAGATTTAGTTAACTTGATACAATTTCACATAACCTCAGATCTTTTTTGTAGGCCAAATTTCTTGCTGAATTTTGATTGTACAAGTCTATTTGATGTTTAAAGTATCATGTTGAGAATTTGGAGTTGTTTGATACCCTTTATCAAACAGATAAGCAGGTGGATCGGTGAAAATAGTTCAAAATTTGACAATTAATACTCGAGATGAGTTTTTTTAGAAGAATAAAGCATTTTGAGAACCCATGAGTGGTGATTGATTGGATCAGGAACAAATTTCTCGCTGAACTACTTTTGGTCGGTTTTTTCTCGAGTGTGATGATCATTTACAATTTCTTCTTCTAAACATAGGTTTGTAGAATCAGCAAATCATACTTTCAAATGGGTACTATTTCATTTTATAGAATTCCATGAAAACCAATACATCGGTTCTGAACAGACATGTCAATTCTATGTCACTGATATCCACTGATAGTATTCAACAGTTATTAAGCACAAAATACATGTTCCAATAAAAAAACAATTAATAACAGATCCACGAGTAGCTTCAGGAATATTGCCTGATCGATGGCTATACTACCCTCTATCAACAAAGTACATCTACTAGAATCAATATGTCATAGATAATATTGCTGAAACTGAAAAAATACAGTAAAAAACCTTAAAGATTATTGAACTATTGGATTGAACTAGTTTAATTAATATTTTGTTAGATTAGATGCATGTAATTTAATGTTATAGTAACAATTATTTTGCATATCTAATACATAAAAATCATGATTATGTTTTCTCTCAGTTATGTTGTTAGAACTTTCCTAAAGCAAGTCGCTTGCTTTGTTCAAACAAGTGCCTCACGCAATAAAAACTTCTAACAAACAAAAGGCTTACTCGGTGGGCATCGGAGATAATGTAAGCATCACCATCAACATCAGCTCAATAATAGCTGTGATCTTCTAGTCGCCGCCATCGAACGAATTCTTCCGCATCTCGGAGGAGGGCAACAATGTGATCGCCGGGCCTCCAGGCGAACATGGAGAGCCGGCGAACATGGAGAGCCGGCGATGCCGAAACCCTATAGGCGGAGGAGGGGGAGTTCTGTGGAGCTGGAGGGAGGAGGATCATGGATTGACTGCGCGAATCAAGGCATTGGGTTCGGCGGATTTCCACGACGACATGTGGAAGGAGTGACTGGCGTTCCTTCCACGCGCGGCGACTCCTCCCCTGCGCCGCTGGCGGCTTATGCTGATTCCGCCCTTGCCGTGTCGAATTGGCTCCGACGCAGTCTTCATGTTGACTGAGGCTTGGAAAAGATTCATGTGCTTATTCCTCTTAATATTAAAATTTCCCATATATAAACATGATTAATATTGATTAATTGAATATAAATATATAATATTAATGTATCTGAAATATCCTAACCTTTAAAAGTTGTAATTAATTTTTGAAGGATATATATATATATATAAGTATTTAATATTGGAGGAAACAAAGGACAATATCACAACAATAGTCGGAGGTGCGGTGTGGGCAAGGAGGCCTATCAAAATCATGCTCTCCCATTGGTCCAACTCATCCCACCCTATCCAAGTCCAATCCTTCACCTCCTTCCCATGGACCTTTTCTCTCCCACACACTCCTCCATCTGCCATCTCCATTACCAGCAGCAGCAGCAGCAGCAGTTTCAGCACCAACGCCATGGCCATGTCAACACAAACCTCCCTTTTCACCCCTCCCACCACCATCCCGTTCTCCAAGCCCGCCGCCCCCCCCGCGCTCCTCCCGTGTAAGCAAACCCCCGGGGCGAGGCAGCTCCGCGGCGCCAGCCTGCGGGTGTCGGCCACCGAGGAGAAGAAGACGGCGGCGCCTGAGGCTCCCGAGGCCCCTGCCGGCTTCACCCCGCCTCAGCTGGACCCCAACACCCCCTCCCCCATCTTCGGCGGCAGCACGGGCGGGCTTCTCCGCAAGGCGCAGGTGGAGGAGTTCTACGTCATCACCTGGGACTCCCCCAAGGAGCAGGTGTTCGAGATGCCCACCGGCGGCGCCGCCATCATGCGTCAGGGGCCCAACCTGCTGAAGCTGGCACGCAAGGAGCAGTGCCTGGCGCTCGGCACCCGGCTGCGCTCCAAGTACAAGATCAAGTACCAGTTCTACCGGGTGTTCCCCAACGGCGAGGTGCAGTACCTCCACCCCAAGGACGGCGTCTACCCGGAGAAGGTCAACCCCGGTCGCCAAGGCGTCGGCCAGAACATGAGGTCCATCGGCAAGAACGTCAGCCCCATCGAGGTCAAGTTCACCGGCAAGCAAGTCTATGATCTGTGACCACATACATCTCCTGCACGCTTCCCTTCCCCGTGTCACATGATATCATATATATGAACTCCATTCGCCTTCTGTAATCTCATTCTTATCTCTACATCTCCTACACTTTTATTATTTCTCATCCAAACTCTGTGGACAACTTCAATTAAGCTGCTCATATGATTCCCAGATTACGACTGCTCGGAGTAAATAATTCTGTTAATTGGTTCGATAAACTTGGTCATATAGTCTTAATCATTGGTCTTCGCCGATCACAATCGAAGCTATATATCTCCACCGAATGCCATGCTTCTTACGAGAGACTCCATTAATTAAGCTGAGTGCAGGCATCCCTGTGAGCTTTATGCTGCTGGGTATTAAAGCATAGTCCAGCAGTCGGCAAACGTCGGCAATGGGACGTCCATCAAGAGGTCTTTATTGGCCATGATGAAGCCTTCTCAAGTGACGTTGACTGCAAATCCACTGCCGACTTCGTCTGTATGTGAGCATGGCGACTGCAACGCAAGCGAATCATCATACTTGGGCTCTGAGGCAAAGGGATGACTATTGAGAAGGGAGGTGGACAGTGACATGGTACCAAGACAGCATGTAATGCATGAGTAGGACTGCAAGGAGGGGGAGTGCAGTGTGGCAGGAGAGAGGAACAGTGAAATGGACAACACCCAAGCCCAAAGCAAAGTGATAATTGCTTCCTCCTCCCCTTTTTCATCGCTCTCACTGCTCTGCTTTCACCGCCGCAGCTCCAGATGGGGAGGTTGCAGTCCCTCTTCTCCCCTCTGAAGAAGCTGTGGATTCGTTTGCATTCGGCACACAGGAAGAGTACTACGCTCCCTCCGCTGCCTCTGTTTCTTCGCCTTTCTTCCGTTTTAGTTAGCGCCACGCCATGGCGTATGACACGGTTGCATTGACAGGGAGGGGGATACACATCCTGTACGAGGATGTGAAGTCGTGCCCGTATGAGGACGTGCAGGTCCTCTGGTCGATGCTGGTGGAGTCGCGCACGCCGCCGTTGCGATTGAAGCGATGAGGGCGTCGGAGAAGAAGAAACGCCTCAGATTTTGCGTCGCGCCCCCTTCTTCGACGTCATGTATGCTTGTGCCTCTCTGCTCGGAGAACATATCGACATATACGTTTGTACATAAACATATATATATATATATATAT